AAAAAAAAAAAAAAAAAAAAAAAAAAAAAGAAACAAATTACTCACGACAAGTAGTAATTTTATAATATGATCGTGTACAACAAATTTGACGCATATTATATTATACTTTCTTTATTCTCTTCTTTCTTCATTCGTATTTTTTTTTTTTTTTATTTTTTTATTTTTTAGAGCGCATCTATGTTCTATAAAGCGTTTTTAAAACATGCACTTTATTAGTGCGTACCTTTTTTTTTTTTGTTGTTATCAATAAATAACTCGACGGTGCTGCTGCTTATTCATTTATTTTTCATTCATCTCAATAACTGCTTATTTTTTTTTACTTTGTTTTTTTTTTGTTAAAACTTTTCAAGTCAATTTTGTCGTGCAATCACATATGTGTTTTTTTTTCTTCTTTTTTTTTTATGTTTCTCTCTCTCTCTCTCTCTCTTTCTATCTCTCTTTTCTTTCATTTCATTTACCGATTGTATTATTAATATGAACGAACGTTTCATATTATTTTATCATAATCATAATTCATCATATCGTATTTTTACGATACACTTCTTCTTCCACACATACACACATACACACACAGCCACACATCTTTCTTACGCATATCTCTCTCTTTCTCTTTCTCTTTCTTTCTTTCTTTGCAATAATTAAAAAGAAAACGAAACAAAGTAGTAAAAAAAAAAAAAAATAAAAATGAATTAAAACGTTCTTTCAATTAACGTAGTAGGTTAGTAATTTAAACAAGAAAATTTCGAATTCTGTTGTTTCACAGCAGAAAAACGTAAATAAAAGCAAGATAAAGCATAAATTACGTGTCTTCTCTCTCTCTCTCTCTTTTTCTCTTTCTCTTTTCGATCATTTTCAATTATCAATCGTCGCCATTTAAACGTTTCTTTCATTTCACAACGCAACCGCGAGTTTATATTCTTGTTTTTTTTTATTTTTTTTTACAATTAAAAATGGTGTTAAGAAGTTAAATTTGTTTTATTTATTTATTTTCTTTTCTTTTCTTTCTTGCTTTATTCTTTTTTTGTTCTTTTTCCCTTTTTTTTTTCTTTTTCTTTTTTTAAATCGCTCGTCGCACACATGACGCGATTTTTCTTTTTCTCTCTCTCTCTCTCTCTCTTTTCTGCGCAGGACACATAATATAATCGATGTGTGAAAATAATTTATGTATTTACAGCGATTTAATACAACGAGAGTCCAAAAAAAAAAAGAAAAAAAAAAAAAAAGGGAATAATCATACAATCATCGTTCCCCTTTTTTTTTTTCTTTCTTTCTTTTTATTCTTTTTTCTACTTTTGTTCATTTTCATAAAATGGGTTAATAAATGTCGCTTTTGGGATCTCTTTCACGAAAAAATCCTTTTTCCGTTTTACATTCTCTAATGGTAACCGTTTTAAGATTTACGGTGACATCTGTTATGAATACTTGATCGGCAACTGGATTTCTCGCGTGCCAATATTCCGTACCGGGATTTGATAAAGGAACGTACATTTCCGGCCTCACTATTTCAGTTTGTTTGATATTTGTTGCGTTATTATTATTGTTGTTATTGGTATTATTATTATTATTATTATTGTTATTATTATTATTATTATTATTATTATTGTTGTTATTACTAACATTACTATCATGGCTATGATGACCATTGACTATCGCAGTTAACCTATTGTTATTTGTGTAAGAATCCGTAGGACTCGGTGATTTGTGACCATTAGCATCAACCGTCGTCGTTGTCGTCGTTGTCGTCGTCGTCGTCGTCGTCGTTGTTGAGTTGTTGCTAGTCTTTTCTGTTTTTTGTTCAGTTAAATGCCTTTTTTTCACTGGTTGATCCAGAGGTGTGTCAACTTGTGGAGACAGAGAAGCAGCTGACGGTGTACGTGGTAGAGAAGGTAATGGACCGTGAGGTACATCGGCTTCCGGTCGTTCCTTGTCTTGCACTGGTGGTGCCAACGTCGTTGGTACCGCTGGTAATGGTTCTTCGGGCGTGGATTTCACGCTAGAGGATGATGGCCTTCTACCGTTCACCTTGTGCCCCTAAAAAGAGACGATGCATAACAATGATCTCATTTAAAGAAAAGAAAACAAAGAAAATCGTTATAGTAACTTATGAAGAATATTATTACTGCAAATACAAAAAACACTAACAAATCACTAGCATAATCCTAAACTATTACTAACATATATATATATATATATGTTACATTTGATTAATTATGATATATAGAAAATGTCTGTAATTATTGATATAAGGACCTTACATGATAAGACGACGGTGAATTGCCCTTTAACGGCAATAAACGTGGTATTTTGTTAGGTGGTGGACTACCACTACTCCCACTGCTTGGGCTGCTGGTGGTAATCGTAACACCAATTTTTCCAGATTCTTTACTTAGAACTTCAGCTTTTCTTTTAGTACCAGCTGGTTCTCTCCTTGGTAGTAACGGTATATCAACGCTACTATTTGAACTGTCCGAATCTACGCTAAACGTCGATGCCAATAATTCAGGTGGTGTAGGAGATTCTTGTCCGTCTAACGAACTTGGTAATGTGTCTTCGTCGGGAGCAACATGATTCAAATGTGGCGCGGATGTGCTACCCGTCGTTGATTCGTCTTGACTATCTTCTCCTACTCTTTCGTCTCCACCAGGTTCTTCGACGACCACGAGATTCGCTAATACTTGCTCCTTTAATGGAGATCATAAATGTTTCGGATCAAATATGAGAAACATAATGATACTAAATTTTAGTAATTTGAGTCAATGAAATAAAAGTCACTGATTTGACTAAGCCCACGATTAATACTACGCGCGTCACAACATATATTATAAAAATAAATATAAATTATTGTTATTTATTATACATAATGATAATTATAATCAATTTTGACTCATTTAATAGTGGTTAACGTGTTAAAGTTTTATTTACTAAACAAAATTTAGTAATTTTAGTCAATGAAATAAGTCACTGATTTGACTAAGCCCACGATTAATACTACACGCGTCACAACATATATTATAAAAATAAATATAAATTATTGTTATTTATTATACACAATGATAATTATAATCAATTTTTACTCATTTAATAGTGATTAACGTGTTAAGTTTAATTTACTAAATGGTAACTTTTTATTTTTAAATAGAAATAAAAATTATACTAGATGTAGAGTTAATCGTTTTGGTTTGCATACAACCTGACAATGAACATATCGTTACAATTTTATCAATTTAATATAAAAAAAAAAAGGGTAAAAGTATATAAATATTCTTACGTTGTATCTTGTATCCCTTCGTCTTGGCCTTCTCGAAGAAACATCTCCTCGTAAACTTTCCTCGTACAATTCGATTAACCTGACGTCTAAAATATTCTCTTCGGGTTCCCATGTGTTATATCTACAAATAGTGTTAAAAAGATTAATTAATTAATAATAATAATAATAATGTATAACATTTACAGATCAATTTTATTTATTATGATGATTTTTGCTTACTTTTTACTCCACCCTTTCCATTTAACAAAATACTCCACTTTCCCCTGAAACAAATATATATATATATAGATATAATATATCGATTATGATAATCGATTTGGACAAAAGTAAAGAGAACAACATTTATTCTTTTAAATAATATTTTAAATAATCGATATGTGTTTGTTATTAATAATAATTATTATAAAAAAAGAAAAAAAACAAAAACATGTACAATTCTTCAAGGATTTGTATACATCGGTGTGTTTTAAATAACCAACCAATAGAAAAATAGAACGAATCTTTGATTGGACCAATCACGTGTTTCGAAACACATTGTATTCGTATTTTTAATTGTTCATTTCTTTTTTTTCTTTTTTTTTTTTTTAAGGTAAATCTCTAAGAGAACTAATTTGAAATCGTGCAAAATTAGAGAAGTAAGCAGATTCAAATGAAATTCTCAATGAATTTCTGTGTTCTCTTTTGGAAAGTTTCTGTTTCATTGCTACTGTATTTTGACTTGCTAATTATCAATTGTACAGAGTCTCATGTGTCTCCGAACAAAATGAATAAAGGAAATTGCATTTACAGGACACAACCGACAACGGTAAAGTTGAAAATGAAGACGTTGTGGTCGTGACATAGAAGAAGAAGAAGAAGAAGAAGAAGAAGAAGGCTAACAATAAGTTTTAACGATGAGGAGGAGGAGGAGGAGGAGGAAGACGTCAGAGTAGCTCTCATTGGCGACGAAAAGATATAGATGGAAAAAGGTGAAGATAAAAAAGATGGAGGAGTGGTGGGGGAAAGCGAGAAAAGAGAAGGCAACTGTACGACAGGAGGAATGTTAATGAGGAAGAGAGATAGAAAATGTTAAGAAAAATAAAAAAAAAAAAAGATAAAGATGTCGGCGTCGTGTGCGAGCGCGAAATCCATCAAGTGGCGCTGCCTGGTGACGGCTAATGGAAACTACTATCCGGCAAGCGGGCAACAGCAGAGTAGCAGGATACACACACATAATACACAACTACACTTACCCGCTTTTCCCTCTTCTTCGTGATCCGCTCGGCGGCGTAAACTCTGTCACCGAGATCCATGACAGTTATTTACTATTTGTAGTCACTGTATTGTTTTTGTTGTTGTTGTTGTTGTTGTGTCGTCGTCGTCTTTTTCCTCAACAGAGGTTTGATGCACTTTGACGACGGTTTCATATACTGTTTAAAATTGACGATCATACGCACCGGTGACACTATTATATTTCGTGCAAATGAAATGGTGTCGTTGTAAACAACACACGAATCGCTTATGCAGCAGGAGGAGTATTACGACGACAGCCGCGTGTATCACATACACTTTAACTCTGATGACAAACAGAGCGCATGCATGTACACTCCACACACCCCACACGCACCACGCAGCATACACAGCAGACGCGCACGTGTGTGTATGATGATGGAAATAAGAAGAAAACACTTATTGCACAGAGATTCTATTTTACGCACGTAACGAAACCATCATCATCACCACCATCATCATCATTATCATCATCAACACCATCATCATCATCGTCTGTAGAGATTTCTCGCTACCGTCGTAGGTGGTAACGCTCGACGACGATAACAATTGGAAAGAAAAAAACTTTGAGGATAATGGCAACATTGAGATGCACCAAATTTGTTTTTCTCACAGTCATAGGAATATCTCTCTCGTGGATTATCGATGAAATTAGTTGCGACGATCACTGGGTGTTGTACACAACGTTTTAATTAAAAATACGTGCTAATGCACGCACGTAGGTTTAAGTAAAGCAAGAACGATTATTTTTAAATTGATTTTAAAAACATTGAACTTATTTAAAACATCGTTTATTATCAGGGCGGTCGATTGTCGTTAGGAAGAAACGGCACGTATTGACGCGTTCTATACGCTATACAACTACGACGATTACTGCGAGAGAACACTATACGGCATTGCACAATGTTTTTCGCACCGATCGTGTGTAACACAACTCCACGAGAGGGAGAGAGAAAGAAATATAAAGAATGAAAGAAAGAGCAATAGTGCCGATGTCTAGGATCACGGATTGGACGACGACTGGAACGACGGTAGTAGTAATGGTGGCCGAACAGTTCACGTTTAAGCCGCGCTAGTGCAACGGCGTGCTACTACGGCGACCAATGTTTTTCGAAATGTTTAATAGTTCCTGTAAGACCGGCGGAGACTTTGCGAGAATAGCCTACGCGCACGTCTCATCGGAAAACGAATTTAACGCGGTAGATCGTGCCTTTTAAACTCGCTTTAATTAATTCGTGTCACTTCTATAATCTATATAGTTTGGCATCAAGTTATTTTGTGTTCTTGTCACGTTTTATTCTTTTCTTTTTGATCGAAATCAGAAAACTGTCGTTGTTATTTCGTGCACCGAATCTCTTTGCAGTGTCTTTAGCAACTACTGGCCGAAGACTCACGTTATTTAAGAGCAGCTGGATTTGATCGGTAAAATTGTTTTTATTCTGACACTCTTGTACTAGCTAGATAGCTAGCTCGTCTCTTGGTTCTCTCTTATGTTGTCGCTATCGTTATCGCTTGTTTCATTTGTAATCTGCTACTGTTACTGGCGCTGCTGTGCTGCTGCTGCTCCCTTCGGGTGAGTTCGGAGCTCGTGACGTCAGCAATTTTCCCTCGCCTCGTAAACACCAAACATGGCCGTCGCGTAGATATACGCTGTTGAACGCTTCTTAGATGGATCAGGAAAATTAAGAGTTTATCGTAAATGGATCGATCGATGAATCACTGAACAATGACCAAAGATCGTTTGACAATATCCATGGCCACTAAACAACAAATATGGGTGCGGATGTCGGAAAACCGAGGTGCCCAACTTGGACCGTCTAACACATTCTGCAGATCGAGGCCGACTAGAGCCGAGGTCTGCCGAACTTCCCTCAGAAACCTAATGGACTCGCCCGAGTCGGTCTTCGTAGTGAGTAGGGAGGAAAGGAGAGAGGGAGAAAGAGAGAGAACTCGAGAAAGAGAGAGTGAGAGAGACTTGAAGTAAAGTACAGGAAGGGAAGGGAGGGGGTGTTCTCAACGGTAGTGATGCGTAAGGATGCCTTGAGTGAAAGAGAGAGAGAAAAAGAGAGTAGTAGGGGAAAGAGAAAGATAACAAAATGTGGTGGGGGTAGGAAAGAAAGAAAGGTGAAAGAGAGGGAGAATTGATAAAAGAAAAGGAGAGATAGAGCGCGCGCGCACGGTTGAACGATCACGAAGGGAAGAGAAAGAAGAAGGTAAAAGCAAGAGCAATGGAGGCAGAGAGAAAAGAGACGGCGCTAGCTAAAGCACCGTCCTCAGAAGAAGAAAGCTGCTGGCCCGCCGTTCGTTCGTTCGTTCGTTTGCTTGCTTGCCAGCTAGCCAGCCAGCCAGCTAGGCAGCCAAGTCCCCTTCTGGTTTTCTCTATATGTGTGCGTTACTCGCTTGTGTGTGCGAGCGTATTCGATGCAACGTTGCCACGTTCGTTTCGTCGATAATACCGTGCCAAATGTCACTCGTGCACTGCCGGTACAATCGAAGCGCCCTATCTTCGCGCCTTCTTCTCGATCTCTCGATTTTTTTTCACGAATCACCGATGAGATAGAGGAGGGTGTGTATTTCCTTCTTTACTTTTTCAACGATCGATCGATTAGGCTTTCTTTTCTGTCGTTAAGCGATATTACACACGCAGACGACACCACATTACGTCGTCCAATCATTCTCTCTTATATTTCGATGAGTCTTCGACGATCCGACAACGTCGCGGATCTTCTTTTACGACGTTCTGTCACATACTACGTACACGTAACACATATCTCTACACAGAAAAAGAGAGAGATAGTCACAACGTTGGCAATATACACTCACGCACGCGCGCGTTTCTACGGGACAACGTAAAATCCTTCCTACCTTTCTTTTTTTCTTAAGACCTCGAAGGTAAATCGTATATATGAGTGCGTCATATACAAAAACGAAAAGAAGAAGGTATAAAGAGCAGCGCGGTACACGATTCAACCTAGGTTCTCGTTCGGCGAAAGCGACAGACGTACTTACACTACGGAGACGAGAAATCGCACGTAGCGGGAGAGAGAAAAAAAGAAATAGGGGAGGGAAAGGTACTATGAGGGGTGGGGGGAAAGAGCGAGAAAGAAACTAGACATACGTTAACGAGCGGGAGACGATCTGCTCTCCGCATAAAACGCGTTCAACTTGGACGGATCCCGAACCGAAAATGTCCTCTCTCTTCACCCCTATTCGCATTACACTCACAGCAGAACAGCAGACACGTATAGGCCAAAACGAACCGCGCGCATACACCGCGATACGTATATTTGGCACAGTAGTGGGGGTAGATTGAGAAAGAGACAGAGATATGATATTTGAGAGAAGGAGTAGTTTGTACGACGTGAGCATGCTGGAATCACGGAAGGGAAGGGTGTGCTTCGTCCTTCGACGTAAATACGAGGGATAAAAAGAAGTAGGAGAAACGATACGCTATTGGTCGGTCTTGGGCGGCGCCACCGACACCATGAGCAGACTACGACCTCTCGACCAATCATAGTCGACGTACGGCCCACTATGTTACCCCACGTAAACCTGAGAAGGCGGGCATATGAAGGACGATCGGATGATCGTATTTAGTCGGGTTCTCGCGGGTTCTCCGCGCGCCTTCTCCCCCCACCTCTCAACCTTTTCCTCTTCCTCTTCTTCTTCTTCTTCTTTCTTCTTTACCGGCATCCTCTACCGCCGCGGTATATTCCCTCTTTCTTTCATTCTCTTTCTCCGTTTCTCTCGTTCAACGTCACACTCTTCTCTTACGGTTCTTTCTTCCCTACCCCCCTCGGCCCCTTAACGCGTGCAAGAAGGTAGTCGCCGTGACGTTGTCGTTGTGTCGTCGTCATCATCATAGTATGGCAATGCACGCGCGCGCGCTACCGATCGTTTATTCTCTTCTCTCATCGGTCATTACTTGTTCCAATAAACATCTGTATTTTTTATATACATATATATCTACTATGTAATTTATTTATATACCTTACATATAACAATTTTTTGTTATTTATACGTTAAAATTACAGGCGTCGTCTTCTTGTTAATCAAAGACCAAAGAGCACATGGAGTCTTAAAGAAAGAGAAAGATAGATAGATAGATAAATAGATAGATACATAGATAGATACATAGATAGATAAATAGGAACACACAACGTGCATGCGTCGCATAGTCGTATCATCGGTTTTGTGCAACCAGAAAATACACGCATGCACGCGCGCGTGCGTGCGCGCATGTTCTCTTTCTCTCTCTCTTTCTCTCTCTCACTCTTTCTCTTTCTCTTGCTGGCCTTCGGACCCCTTTTTCAGTAATACGCGTTGGGGGCTAGAGGGAGAGTATTGGGGCGGGGAAGTCTGATACACCACACTACTCTCCTCGATTCCTATTGAAATATACTTGGTCCTGGATTGAAGAGTGTTAAACAGAGAAATGCGACGATGCCCCGCGTCTTTCTCCCACCTTCTCCTCTCTCTCTCTCTCTCTCTTTTTTTCTCTCTTTGTGCATATAACCACTAACGTTAGGCCGGAACTATCTTTTCTCTCCCCCACCTTATTATCCCCACTCCTATTTTTTCCCCCTACTCGGTCGTTCTCTTTTCTCTCTCTCTTTCTCTCTCTCTCTCTCTCTCTCTTTTCTCTTTGCATCTCCGAGAGCAGTGTTCAGAGAGTCTCGACTTTTCTCTCTTGCCATTTCTCTCTTTCTCTCTCTTTCTCATAGCCGCGTTCGTCGCCCTTTCCCCCCTCTCCTTCCCTTCTCCTCAAACCATTTCGTACCTCCGCCACCACCACCACCACCATCATATCGTTCTCTTCAGTTGCTCTTCTACGGGCACACTCATACATACAACACACACACACATATATATGCACATAACTACATATTCATAAACTAATAGGCATCATTTATGGATAATGTACCCCTCCCCCTTCCTTCTTCACCTCTTTTCTTCTCTACCTTATCTTTGCCCCATCTAATTTTATCATCAGCAATTTCGGTTTCACCGACTTCATTTTATCTTTTGTAATTGTTCTTCTTTATTTTTTATTTTTTTTGTTTCTGTTTTGACTA